TTACTGGCTCACCTCCATGCATTCCTGGCGTGAGACTGGATAGAGACAGACGTAACTTCTCGTAACTCCCAGATATGTTCGGCTGTAACCTGGTATTAAGGTGGCTATTTCTATGTCACTTTTATTTATTTATTTTTTTGACAGGCAGAGTGGACAGTGAGAGAGACAGAGAGAAAGGTCTTCCTTTGCTGTTGGTTCACCCTCCAATGGCCGGCGCACCGCGCTGATCCGATGGCAGGAGCCAGGTACTTATCCTGGTCTCCCATGGGGTGCAGGGCCCAAGCACTCGGGCCATCCTCCACTGCACTCCCTGGCCACAGCAGAGAGCTGGCCTGGAAGAGGGGCAACCGGGACAGAATCCGGCGCCCTGACCGGGACTAGAACCTGGAGTGCCGGCACCGCAAGGCAGAGGATTAGCCTAGTGAGCCGCGGCGCCGGCTATGTAACTTTTAAAACAAGGCACAAAAGCCACCCAAGCCTGTGTTTGTGTGTGAGGGGCAGATGTTCTCTGTGAAGGTCGATTTATGGGTGGAAGTAACTCACACATTCACCTGGGTCTCTCACCGTCCAATCCCAAAACACTTCATGGTGCACGATCAGCCGTCTCTGTCCTTGGCCAGAGACTGCCTCCCTGTTCTACGAGTGCAGATCACCCCACAAAGGGCCCTCACGGAGTGCTTGCACTTCCCGCTGCGTTCTCCCCAACGTGGTTTGGAGTTGCAGCCAAGACCTGAGTGTGCAAGGTCCCTGGGGAGGGAAGAGCAGTGCCCTGCAGGGAGGGCGCCCTAGTCAGGTTTCCCTGCCTTGCAACTTCAAGTGCATGATTTGGGTGCTCTGTGGAAGGAGACATGAGCTGCACAGGCGAGGAGACAAGCAGGAAGCCCCAAGTAGAAGCCGAGAATACTGGGAACTGCTCACGCCTGTGCCGGTCAGTCGGTGTGCGCTATGGAGTCGGTTCCATCCCGGCTCCTGCCTCCCTGGGTCCAGTTCACACTGTGTTCCGTGTGGGGCAGAGTAGCAAGGGCGGAGCGTGGGCTGTGTGACGCCTGGAATCTTATCTGGGAAACGGAGCAGTTTGAGTTCCGTTTGGTTCTTTAGACTCCGTGGCCAGTGGTGGAGAAAGACCACTGGATGTTCTCTGGAAAGTCTGACCGTGCGAGTCAGTGTCCCAGGGCTGCTCTCCCAAAGCTCCGTGCGTGGGTGGTGAGATGGCAGGAAAGGCTGCAGTGGAGGGGTGGGCAGGGCCTCGGGGCTCCTTGGCTCCTGGCTGCATCCATCCTGTGCCCGTGAGTCTGCGTGCACCGTCCCCACTTCTTACAGGACGGCACTCGGCGGATGAGGGCACACCCTCCACTGGATTTCTTCTGTGCTGAGGCTTGGGTGAGACGGAGTGTCCCCGCGGCTTCACGGCAGGAACTGCACCCTCTTGGGAAGCATTAAGGGGCGGGAACTGAATCCCACTGCGGGATTTAGAGGCGGAGCACGTGGGATGTGAGCAGGGTTAGACGAAGTCAACCAGGGCGTCCCCCCTGCCTGATGCCCAGTGGCTTTTTAAGGAGAGAGACGGGGGAGACACACGCACACACACTCGCACGCTACCCCTCGCCCTTTGCATGGAGATGCTCTGAGTGCCTCCAGGCTCTGCCAGCCAGAACAATCCAACACCAAATGTCACCCCTTGAGCCTCCAGAACCGTGAGCTAAATAGAGCTGTTCGGCTCACAAGGACCCTGCCGTGGGCATCTCGTGATGCAGGACAGCCTGACACCACGTGCAAAGGCTCCATTTCCCAATCAGCACACCTTCGCAGCCGGGGGCGGGGGTGGGGCTTTGACTCATCTCCGGCAGCGCCCAGTTAAACCCTGACACCGGGGTGCTGTGCTGAGGCTGAGAGCCCCCAGAGAGGACTGCACCGCTTTTCGGAAACCGGGGGTCAGGGCTACGCATCAGCCCCTCTAAACAGCTTTAGCTGACGTGCTGTTTGCATCTTCTTACCCCTGAGAGCTGCTCTGGCTTGTGCTGTTTATGTCAGTTACAGACTCCTGCAAAGGAGGCCACAGGAGAAGCGTTGACACGTGGGGCCAGTCAGGAGCCACCTCCGGTCCAGAGGTCGTCGTAGACACCCCGCCAGCGATTCTCAGCACCTGGCTGTGCCGGTGCGAAGCGTCCTGGTTAAACAGGAAGGTTGGTTCACAGAGGGAGGACTGCCCTGCGGCCGGCTGGGGTGAGTGACCGTCGCGGCTGAAGGATCTGGACTCGGGTGTTCGGGAACGTTTCCTGTGATGGCCTCACTGTAGCAAAGAAGAGAGCTTTCCTGGGCGCCGACCCTCTGCCTCGGTCAGCCGCCCTCCCTACAGAACGTGACGGACTAAGTGCTCCACTCACTTCCCCGTTCTCTCACTGATAACACTTTTGCTTTCTCGTGCCAGTATGCATCACATTCATTCACTAGTGAAAAGCCCCTCATTGTTCCAGACGTGGATAATTCAGCTAATACAAGTATCTTAAGAAATAAATAGGGGTCCGTGCTGTGGTATAGCCGTCTAAGCTGTGCCTGCAATGTCAGCATCCCCTATGGGTGCTGGTTTGAGTCATGGCTGCTCCACTTCCCATCCAGCTTCCCGCTAATGCACCTGGGAAAGCCACAGAGATGGGCCAAGTCTCTGGGCCCCTGCACCCATGTGGGAGACCTGGATGAAGCTCCTGACTTCCTGGCTTCAGATCTGCCCAGCTCCTGCTATTGTGGCCATTTGGTGCATGAACCAGTGGATGGAAGACCAATCTCTCTCTCTCTCTCTCTCTCTCTCTCTCTCTCTCTCTCTTTCTGGAGCTCTGCTCTTCAGATAAAATAAATATTTCTTTTTAGAAATAGAAATAAGAATATAAAACTATTTACAAAATACAGCCTCCCCAACTTCAAGATCACACATGTCCTGAGTAATACTGGTCTATTTTCCACAAGGAGAAACCTAGGTGTCAACTCAAACAGGGATCCTCCCGTCGCCCAATGTTCCTACCCCTAGTGACAACAGAGAAATGCAGAACACGCTTGTCACATTAAAAAATGCATTGTTCCACCACTGTCTTCCTTCTGACAACATTAGGCTCATTGTCTACAGTACATTTTTTATATTGTTTTTCCGGAGACCTTGCGTGCAATTTTGGTCAGTTTTATAATGAGGAGTACCACAGGGAATTCTGCCATGAAGCCGGATTTGTTCCTCTGCACACACACAACAGCCATGAAGGTCAAGGTCGGTGTTAAGCACAAGGAGATGGAGGCATCGACCTTGTCTTTGGAGGACTTGGAACAGCAGCAGAGGTGGCCGACTGGAGGGCAGGCCAGAGTCGCCATGGCCACCTGAGGGAGGCGTCTGGGCTGTGGCGAGTCCCAGGGGCTGGACCGTGCTGGGGAACCAACAAGCAGACCTCCGCTAAGGAGCAGTGCTCAGCCCTGGGGAAGAGGGGTGCCTGGGAGTGCCAGCTCCCGTGGCCACGCCGGCCGTCGTCTGCACAGCTGCCCCATGTCCCTTGCAGGCCGTGAGACTCTGAGCAGGCCAGACAGCAGGGCTGATGGGTGCTGGCATCAGAGGACGGAAGCCCAGACCCCAGATGAGGGAACTTTCCCCAGGACTTCAGGGCTTTTCAGTTTGTCTGTGTGGCTCCTGGCTTTTACTTTTATATTTCCTTATTGTTTTTCAAGAAAAAAAGAGGGGATGACAAAGAAAGACGAAAACGAAACTTTTCATTCTGATGACCTTTTTGGGTTTCTTGTAGTGAAATCAAAAATGACTTAGTGTCATATGGAAATCTGAGGTTGGGGTGCGTGCAAAGTGAAGTACGCATTTCTCTCCCTGTGTAGCAGTGAGATGGAAGGAGACGGACAAGGCGTCGGAGTCCGATCCGCAGTTGCCGTGGGATTTGCCTGAAGCAAAGGGAGAGCCTCACCTGCACGAGGCTGTGGAATTCCACGGCTCCCCCACTTGCATCCAAAATAACAAGAAGGGGCCGGGCTTAAGGGCCTCAAGTCGTCTCTGTCTCCAAGAGTATGGATTTATCTCTCTTTCCATTACACAGCTTCAATGGGCCACACCATTTAAATCAGCTTTCTCACATCCCCTTACCTGACCTTAGCGAGATCTGTTGGTGTTGACCCGCTCCAATGGGAGAAGTCATAATCCAGACACATCAGTCCACAGCATTCTCAAGTTTTTAGCTTCCATGATACTAGCTTTTAGCAAAACAACTGTGCAGTGTTAGACTCGGCAAAATTTAAATTTGCATGGGGCATATAGAATGGAAAATAAAATTTACATACATGCAATTATTTTTTCTTTAATGAAGAAAAATTCTAGCATTTTAAATTATCCAAATTACACAGATATCAGAGTAGATGAGGGGCTGCCTCGGATGACTCCGTAAGTCTGCCTCATATTCCCTGAGTTGTATCCTGACTCTGCTGGTATAATTTTTAGTAATTTTACTCAATCCGTTACCATTGGCACATGGAGGGCTATTGTTTTGTTCGATTGTTGTTTTCTTAGTGGAACTCAAAAGTCCTCAGATGCAGTGCTGCTGAACAAATCATGTAACTTTTTTTCCAAAGACAAGCATTTTTTAGTGAGAAACTCTATACTTGGTCACTGGGAAAAGATCGCTAGAGTTTTTGCAAGACAGGAAAATCACACTGTTAATACGATGCCCTGGCTTCAGGATGAAGTCCATTTAAAGCTAAAGGTTTGGAAGGAACTTAGTAGGGGCCTTCATTCAGATCTTCCTGTGGTTCCAGTTGGGTCTTCCCATGAGCCTTGGTTCTGCATTGGCTTTATGGAGCTTGGTGAGAAATTAGCTGTTCATTTGAATGGGAAGTGCCCATCCTTGGCTTCTGTAAATGGCAAATGTCGAATTGAGAAGCATAGCATCTCACAGAGAGGAACCATCTCCATCTGAAATTCATGCTTTCAGATTTAAGTTTTAATCCGTTGCTTCATCCCCTTACAGAAAGGGCGTATGCCATCTCTTCTTGCTACCTGGGCTACCTGAACAAGCCCCCTCCGATGACATAACTTCTGAACAGGTTTGCACTGAGGGGCCCAGGGAGCGGTAGGTGGGATGCTGGGACCAGTGTGTCTAAGGGCACATCTGACCTCTCCATATTCGGTGTCTCAGGCAAACCCCAGCTGTCCTGAGGCTCCGGGCTCTCACGTGGGATGTCCTCAGTGAGGGTTAGATGGGTCTTTGTGTTGAACATCGTTTGGACACTGCTAATGCGCTGTTCTCACTAACAGTGGTGCTGTAACCGATCTGCCGTGAGGAAGCTGCTTCCCCTTCAGCAAGGAAAGACCGGAGGGACCCCCACCCCCATCTCCTCCACGCAGGGCAGGAGGGGTGTGGGCAGCACCTGGATGGGGGAGATGGGGCCCAGGGACAGCCCTCTGCAAACTGTGCCTGGGGGCGGATCAAAGTGCTCTGCACTTGGCAACTGCCGGCAGCATCCCCTTCATCTCGGGGGGTTTCCTGTTCAAGCGGCTCGCCCTGCCCACATGAAGGGAGCGCCTGTTCCGAGGTATGTTCGCGTGTTTGCGCAGTTGTGTCATTTACATTGGCCATATGTTAATGGTATGTACCCAAGAGCTGGTCTTCTATTAGAAGAGGGCTATCCATCAGTGCTTCTGGGAAGCATACAAGCGGACAGAGTTTTCAAAGGGCATGCCTCACTGAACGTACATTCCTCGAGCTCGTCTATAAAAAGATTTTCAGGCACGCATTCCGCACTTGGTCTTAATTTTCTGTTGATTTCCAAACTCGAGCAAACCGCAAGCAGCTCTGTGGTCTTCTCCACCAGGCTGGTTCTGCAGATGTAGAAGCAGTGAGAGACCTTCTCCTAAATCAGAATTACGTGCAGCCAAGGAAGGGCAAAGGGACCGGTGCAATGCAGATTTGCACATCATCCCGATAAGCCATCGTGGGACGGACGTCAGCGCCGCGCTGGTGAGCAGAGTCTGTCACACAGGCATCTAAGAACACACGGCATGGGACACGGTGTGCTCTCTGGAGGGGCCTTGCTTATGGTCGTTGGTTCTCAGCGCATGATTTCTCTGCCAACGGAACGAAAGTCATTCATTTTGGGGGCCAGGTGTTCCTCACTCAGGCACCCCTTGTTCCTTCATTAATGTGTCATCAGAGCCATATTTCTGTGTGCATTTGGACACTGACTTACGTGATCCATGAGCCATAAAGCCCATCTTGCTAAGAAGAGGATTTCCCCCAGTCCTGGTCATTCGCCTTTCGTCTTCTTTGTCCCCGCTCCCTTGCTAGGAGTAGGGAAACCTGCTTTGCTGGTCGGCAGCTCACCAGTCCCTTCAAGGTGGCAAGCAGGGCGTAGGTCGTAAGCCCTCCGAAGCAGGGGTTCCACCCAGCCCGCCCTAAAAGGGAGTTTGAGAACCGGGGGAGCGTGAGACTTTCGGCAAGCATCCTCGCGCTTGCTCTTCACACCGAGGGTGCAAGGCAGGCCGCAGCGGGCTGTGGGGTTAGCAACGGGAACCCCGTGGCCTCCGCTCGTGCTGCGGCCTTACAGAGAGTGTGCACGTGTCGAGTGAGCATTGCACACAGGAGCGAGAGAGTCCTGGCATCAGGGCACGAGGGCACTCACTGGCGGTGTCCACGCGTTTTCACAAAGTCAACAGCTGCCCCGTACGAAGCTTTGACGATTCCAATGTCCCCCTGTGGCGTCTGATTTTCTTCAAGTGCGACACGGTTTGTCTTCAGAACCACATGGAGTCCTCCTGACCACACGGCGCTCAGGGGCTCACTTCATTATCCTGCGGCCTGAAACATGCCTTCAAGGCTGATCGTTACTTTTAACAAAGAAGCTAAACTGTCCACGGCATTTCCCCCCTCCTCCCTCTCCCTGTCGTTTCCCCCCTCCCCTCCCCTCCTCTTCCCTCTCTCCCCTCTTCCGAGGGTCTCCTAACAGGAGCCCAGGTAGGGAGAAGAGGCAGCTGTCCTGCCTGCTGCAGCGGGCGGGGCCCGTGACGCCCTGGCAGCACACGCAAGCTCGGTACACGCCAGCTGGCGCATCACTCTTGCAGCCTCGGTGGTAAACACGCAGTTCCATTTGGTCTCGCGGACTCGTGGGCCGTCTTAATGGTTCTTTCTGAGTTCGCATCAGTCACGGGAAGCACCAGGTACAGCTGTTACCGCCTTCTCTGTAATTCTACCTCGCTCAAAGTCTCCACTGTGTCATTGTAGCCGGGGACAGGTCAGTGCCAGAGCTGTATGTCCCCTGATTCATGCCCCTTTACTGTTTTCTTGGTGACTTAAAATCGACATGAATATGTGCTCCAGCTCTCGGTCTTGGTATGACGTTCCATGTAGCAGCAGTTAGCAAATCATCTATTAGGATTCTCTCAGTACTTCCGTGGTGGGGGTGTGTGTGTGTGTGTGTGTGCACGCGCGCACCTGAGGAATCCGGTTCTCTCGATACACTCGTGGACATGCAGACAATCTTCCCAGCTTTCAGTGTGCAGAAACCGACATCCTGATGGGGTTACTGTGTTATAAAACATTTACTGGTGATGTTTAGGATCAGTCTTAATGTGAACTGATAAATTTCGGAGAATTTACATAGTTTCAATAGGATACCGCAAAATTATTTAGAAAATATCTAGACTTATAAAGTTTCGTGCTAATAGAGAGCCAGTGCTGTGGCATAGCAGGTAAAGCTGCCACCTGCAGTGCCGGCATCCCATATGGGCAACGGTTTGAGTCCTGGCTGCTCCACTTCCGATCCAGCTCTCTGCTGTGGCCTGAAAAAGCAGGAGAAAATGGCCCAAGTCCTTGGGCCCCTACAACCGCATGGAAAACCTGGAAGAAGCTCCTGGCTCCTGGCTTCAGATCGGCACAGCTCCGGCTGTTGAGGCCATCTGGGGAGTGAACCAGTGGATGGAAGATCTCTCTCTCTCTCTTTCTCTCCCACCCTCTTTCTCTCTCTCTCTCTCTCTGCCTCTCCTCTCTCTGTGTAACTCAAGTAAATAAATAAATCTTTATAAATGTTTAGTACTAACAGAAGATATAAAATACACTGGAAGAAATAAATGAGATTTAGATATCCATTTCTCAGGAAACCTCTTATTTGATACATGCATATTAAAGACCCATGTTGATATCACCGCATTCAAAGACCTCCAGGTCAACTTGGAACAGACAGGAAATATTGTAAATCCTATCTCGTGATAGAAACAAAACAAAGCCAACTTACTTGGCGATTTCATACAGAAAGTGTAACTGTCCACATCTGCTCCTGCTCGCCTTCTTAGGAGATTCATGCTGGGACAGCGGGAACCCAGGCACGTGGTCCTAGTGTGACCGAGCCAGCGTGCCCAGGGAGGCGGGGCTGGGGCACACAGGCAGACCCATCTTTGGGAGGAAGGAGTAGAGCCCCAGGTCACTCTTGCTGCAACTTTTCTTGTCTTCAAATGTCCCTGTTCTGTGAACATCATCTGAATTTTACTAGAAGAAATGACCTCTGACACAGGGGGTTTCACCCAACCATTTCCACCCGTACCACTCAGCCCGAGCCCAGCGGTGTGGTCTGGCTGCCAGCTGGCACCCATGGCCACGGCCGGTGACAGGAGCTGAGCTTCAGCTCATCCACAAATCCATGACCAGGGACGTGCGCTGGCCACAGCCTGCACGCACAGCCCAGGTCCAGTGGTGTGCGCTGGCCACAGCCTGCACGCACAGCCCAGGTCCAGTGGTGTGCACTGGCCACAGCCCCGTGGACCTCAGGCTTGGGAGTTCTTCACCCCGGGGAGGTGTGTTTTCTCCAGTCGCAGTGACATTACATTCTGCTAGATGGAAGTCGTCATTTCAGAATGGCGGCACTGGACGTCTTCGTGTGTGAAGTCCGAGACAGACGCGCTTCCTCCGTATTCGTGGACAGTTCCTGCTTACAGCAAGCCGCACGCAGGATCTCAAGTTACAAAACTTACAAAACTTTACAAAAACCACGAATCAGCCGAACGAGGCCTGAAGCTGCATCGCCTTCCTAATTTTAAATCTGTGTCCCAGCAACGTGTTGCTCTTTGCCTTGGGTGAAGGTGTGCAGACTCAGATAAAGTGAGAATTTTCCACGATAAAATTTTCAGTAGAAAAGATATCAGAAACGTATCTCTCCACTGTTAACTTTTTATTCATTTTTTTTTTTCAGTTTTTCTCTTGTGATGAAATTGATGATCACTGTGCTTAATTTGACTTTATTGCTCTTTGGTTATTGACCGTCCACACAACACTGTGATTAAATCGCGGTGAAGTACTGGGCAGATTTTACAAAGCGTATTATTACAAGTTTGGTTCTGGCACAGACCCACAGCAACCTCTGTGAATAATTAAAACATTATTTATCTCATATTCTGCATCCAATTTGTTTAGTACCGCTGTTACCCCTGAAGAACCCGGTGATTCATTAAATAATTTTTTTAAGTTTATGGAGGTTTTATGGGCATCTATTTTGTCTGTGTTTCACTACAATTTCGCCCTCCTTTCTTGTAAAAACACAATGGTTCCAGGTGTTAAAACACAAATAGATTGCTAATGACCTCGGCAAGGAGATAGTCATCATTTTTGTTTTTTTTTTTTACCAACAGCCAGGAGATACGAGTATTTAGTGTGCTTTGGTATCTAAATAGCTATTCCAGAAAAAACAAACAAACCTCCAGGCAGAGTTGGCCTGTCATGTAGGCATTCCACGTTGGACCTCGCTTTATTAAAGCAGTTCTGACTTTATTTCCAGTTGCACCCATACAGGCCATCGCACTATGCTGGCCTGAGCCCCTCCTCGGAGCTCCTGATGCAAGCCCCTGGCTATGTCCCAGCAGCTCACCGCTCCCTGCGCACCAAGACACCCGCACAGTCAGGCACGGGCCCCTCACCATTCAGCAGAACCCCTTAGGGTGCACTCTCTGCTACAGGCCCAGGGTGATCACGCCCCTCTCCCCAGCACCAGTCCCCTGGAACGCCACGAATTTCCTGCCCCAAGCTGACCAACGCCAGCTTCTCAACTCCACTGTTGACCACTCTCGCCCAAGCTGACCAACGCCGCCTCCCTGCCCCCCACCCTCGCCCAAGCTAACCAACCCCAGCCTCCCGGCCCCTCCCACCCAAGCTGCCCAACCCCAGCCTCCCTACCCCCCCACCCAAGCTGCCCAACCCCAGCCTCCCTACCCCCCCACCCAAGCTGACCAACCCCAGCCTCCCTGCCCCCCCACCCAAGCTGACCAACCCCAGCCTCCCTGCCCTCCCTGCCCAAGCTGACCAACCCCAGCCTCCCTGCCCCCCACCCAAGCTGACCAACCCCAGCCTCCCTGCCCCCCACCCTCGCCCAAGCTGACCAACGCCGCCTTCCTGCCCCCCCACCCTCGCCCAAGCTGACCAACCCCAGCCTCCCTGCCCCCCACCCTCGCCCAAGCTGACCAATGCTGCATCCCTGCCCTCCCTGCCCAAGCTGACCATTGCAGCCTCTCAGTCCCCATCCCCAGCCAAGCTGACCATCACGGCCTCTCAGTCTTCCGCCGGCCGCCCTAGAGCAGGCATCCTGAGCACAGGGCTTCAAGCTCTCACTGCCTTCCCGGCTGTCGGCGACCAAGCCCCTGCCTGTCCTTCCCCGCAGTCGGCGACCAAGCCCCTGCCTGTCCTTCCTGCTGCCAAGCCGCCCCTGCCGCCCCGTGCTTTCCCTGTTTTCTCGGCTCTGTGCTCACCCTCTCCTCCCCGAGCTGCGCTGGCCCTTGCTCTTGCTGCCCGCTCCCTGGGGGCTACCCCCTCGTGCCTCAGAGCGGGGAGCACATTTCTGCTCAACGCGGTCTTCACGGAGAAGCTCTTGACCTGCCTCCAGCGCCGCGGGTGCTGGCTTCGGGGGCTGCCCTGCACACTCACCCTCGTGCGCAGAGCGCGAATTCTTCCTGACTTCACACTCGCATGGCTAAGTTCCTTTCCCCACGTAAGAGGCAGCCGCCTCTCCTACCTCGTTGGTCCACCGTGCCCAGTGGTATTGTTCGGTTCCCAGTGTTTTGGTCTTGGCCCTGTTTGGCAGGACTGCTGCTGAGCCGCGAGCAGAGGTGAGGAAGTGAGTGCAGACGCTCCTGGGGCCTGCCCTGGCGACAGAGCCCCCAGGAGCCCAGGAGCCTCGCGTGCTGCTTTCTCACCAACTCTTCTTCCGCACGGGATAGGCAGCAAAGCGTGGTTTGCTGATCCTGACAATGCAAGAGGTGCATTTTTATCTCTGAAATATGCTCACAACTTGCGCCCACCCGCACTGCCATGGCAAGTGGGACACCTTTGCCCCACTCCAGGCAACAAAATTTTAAACTTCGGCCGCTTCCATGGAGCCCGTGGCACTTTCCTACACTGTCCTGACCACGTCGGAAAGCGTTCACTCTGAATGTCAGCCACAGCCTCACTGCTCAGCTCACGCAAGGAGCGAGGCTGCGGCTTTTCCACTTGAAAGGCGCTCAGGGGGGCGGCACCGTGGCAGAGCGTGCATAGCCTGCACCTGTGGAGCTGGCCTCCTGTGTGGGCCATTGCAGCCAGCTGGGGAGTGAACCAGAGGACGGGAGATCTCCCTCTCTGTAACTCTGCCTCTCAAAGAAATAAACACAGCTTCAAAAATAAAAAATAAAAGCAAGCAAGCTCAGAACTGCTAGCCCTGGAGAACAGGGCCAGGAGCTGAGTCCAGCGGCCTGGAGCTCCGCTCTGTGCACTGAGCGCCCTTGGGCGGAGGCGGCAGTACCTGTCCGTGGCTCTCGCACTGTTTATCTTCCAGAATCCAGCGTTCCTCTGGGAGTTCCTGCTGGCACTTTGTCTGTGTTTACTAAAGGGTTTCCATCCTTGGCAATTTTGATCGGGCCCTAAAATAAAGATTTTCGATTACTGAGTACATCAAGACCTCTCTTCCCTTCATTAGTTTCCTTTATTTGATTTCTGTAAGGAATGTCTATTGCTCTAAGGCTTTGGCAAATGCACACATGAAGATTCATCATTGAAAGTAAATGTGGCAAATACAATTCTCTCTGAATATAAAGCTCAGAAGAGCTCACTAGGGAATCTCCGTCATTAGGGCCAAGAACGTATAAATCTCCCAGGGGAGGGATAAAATTTCAAAGCAGACACTTCTTCAAAGTGAGTATCAGAAGGACGGTTTTTCTAAATATAACCCCCGCAGAAGAGCCGCACTCGGGGCAGGAGCGCTGGCAGCAGAGGCGCCCGAGGGCAGACCCCTGTTCCGTTGCAGGAGCAGGTCAGGAACAATGGCACAGCCCCGTGGGTCGTGGGCGTGGACGGACGCCACGCTCGCTGGACAGCTTCGAGTTGCCCCTGGCCACCCCGGCACTCCAGCCTCGCAGGTGGTGGGAGCACGTCTTGCCTCGTCTGTCCTCCCAGGGCAGGGGAGGGGGACTCTGCCACCCAGAGAGGACCGGGCAGGTTCCTGAGTGGCAGGACTTGTCAAAGCTGTCGGGGGGCTCCTGGGCTGCTGCTCTGTCGCCCGCTTCATTTCCAGATTCTGGAGGAGGAATCCGACCAGCGCCAGGGTCGCGGTGTAGCCCAGGCTGCAGGCTGTGGACCAGTGGGCAGAGAATCTGGCCCCGTCTCCTTGCTGGGGCAGGTCTCACTCCATTTCGCAGCACTGCACGGCCCCTGCCGCCCCGGCTGCTGCCCGGGGGCTCCTCTAGGCCTGCTGTAGAAGGCCCGCAGCCTGCTGCTGGTGGAGCCAGACCTTCAGGGAGTGCCATCGCCCTATCATCTCCCTCACCTGCCCCAGGGGAGTCCAGCTATCCTCTGAGCACCTCCGGCTTGAGGCTGACTGTGTGTCAACTCCCCGTGCAAATGGACCTCTGTGCCACCGCACGCCCTCCGGCAAACACACAGTGGCTGCCGTTGAAATTGTGTCTCCAAAGACCGGCATCAGGGGCAGCTGGGGCAGCAGGTGGCAGCCCCCAGAGGCCGGTGAGGCCGGCTCTGCTCTCCTAGCTCCGCCACTGCTGAGAGTTAGGGCCAACTCCTTCTTGGTTGCTGGGGGCTTGTTGCTTCTCACGGGAGGTTGCAGACCCCTGCCCTCGGCCCACCCCCTGGCAGGGGCGCCCCTCCAGGTATGCCAATCAGAAATGTCTCCAGCTGTTGCCAACCATCCTCTGGGCGGGCAGGTGAGCTGCCTGGCACCACAACTCACGCAGGTGTGGTGTTCAGGCTGAGGTAGAGTCTGAGCTAAAACACACATTTCCAAAAAGTGCAAGAAACACTTGAAACACGCTGGGCTTTGGCCCCGTGAGAGCCCAAACACGGTCTCCCTTCCGTGAGCTGCTCGGCCTTGCACGTGCGTGTCATGTCGAGGGTCTGATGAGGCAGCTGCTTGGAGACACAGCAAGTGCACGCTGCACCACCCCCCAACCCTCCCCAAGTGGTTCTTAAACTAATGGAGACTGTCAGAAAGGAGAGGCGGCTGGGGTCCCCGTGCGGGTCCCGGCGCATGCACGTTCTGTCGGGTCAGCTCCTGGATCCGGGGGTGGCCGTGGGCGACAGCCCCACGCTCTGCCTGCTCCTTGCTGTCACAGAGCTGAGCTCTGTCCTGGCAAAGTGGCTGCTGCCATTCCCTTCCCTCCGCTGCTCCCTATCTCGGTTTCTGTTGTTTCAACGTGAACTTGGGGTGGGCACGACAGGGGAGGTATTTCAGAAATCACTGTGTCCACCGAGGAAACTGCCGAGAAGTGTTCTCGTCCAGAGAATGCAAAGCCCTCTGGGAATCACCGTCAGGGAGAGAGAAAAGGAATCGCTCATTCCGTGAAGGGGAAATGGGGTGAGAGGATGTTTGTGTTGAAAGCCAGAGACTCAGAAAGGGGACTTCTAGGTAAGGCAGAACGTGGTCTCGGGGCTGGAGGATTCAGGGTTCGTGTGAAGAATGAGCGATTGTTCACGCCGCACAATGCAGCTCATTCTGTTCCTCAAAACAAAAGCATTTCGATCTCATTCACCAAAGCATTCACAGAAAGAAAACTCTGCGTGTTGTTTTTGGGACAGCAAAGATGTCCCCTCCGGCTCCCTAAACCCTCAATGCTGGATTCAGCGAACGAGGGGGATGGCACAGAAGGCTATTGTCCTAGCGGCCAAACACCTGACCGCAAGCCAGAGCCGGGCCCAGGTGCACGGCCAACAGGGCCTGGAGCACCTTCGCCTCGCTCTTCCCCCTCCTCTTCCTCCTTCCCTCCCTCTCATCCCTCTCCCTCCTCCCCCTCCGCTCATCTTCAAGTCCCTTCTCTCTGTTGTCTCAAGCGTGTGCCCCAAATTTTGGGTGCACCTGCTATTTGGAAGCCATAGGACACTCGCGCTGACGAGCCGTGTGGGTCCTCTGCTGACTGCGGG